GTACTGATTCTTTTTGCATTAAAAACAGATGGCACATGTTTAATTAGATGCTCGTCCTAAGTTTGTTTTCTCTGAAATAAAAAGCATTTAGAATGTGGTGCTTAAAAAACAACAACACCAAACTCCTTCTTAATTACTAAATATTATTGACGAGCATTTTCAGCCTGCCATGTAATTTTGAGTGATGTTCAGTCAACTTCTGAATCCCAGTGCTAGGACGCAATGTCAGGGGAAGGCCTTGGCCTCTGTGCCCAGTTGTTGGTCACTGTGTAAGACGGGATGCTGGACTAGGTGGATCACTGGTCTGATACAGCAGGGCTTGTCTGATGTTCTTACCGGGGGAAGGCCTCGGCCTCTCTGCCCTGTTGTTGGCCCTTCAGAGGAACTGGCTGGCCACTGTGTGTGACAGGATGCTGGACTAGATGCACTACTGGTCTGATCCAGCGAGGCTCTTCTCATGTTCTTATTGGGGGAAGGCCTCAGCCTCCATGCCCTGTTGTTGGCCCTCCAGAGGAACTGGTTGGCCACTGTGTGAGACAGGATGCTGGACTAGATGGACCATTGGTCTGATCTAGCAGGGCTCTCTTCTCATGTTCTTATCGGGGGAAGGCCTCAGCCTCTATGCCCTGTTGTTGGCCCTCCAGAGGAACTGGCTGGCCACTGTGTGAGGCAGGATGCTGGATTAGATGGACATCCTGTCAGATCCAGCAGGGCTCTTCTGATGTTCTTATGAAGGCCTTGACCTCTATGCCCTGTTGTTGGCCATCCAGAGGAACTAGTTGGCCACTGTGTAGGAAAGAATGCTGGACTAGATGGACCACTGGTCCAATCCAGCATAGGGTTGCCAGGTCCCCTCGTCCCTCCAGCAGGGGGATTTGGTTTTTTCCCCAGGGGTGGGTGGGGATGCCCCCGAGCCCTGCCCCCAAGAGCAACCACCCACCTGAACACCCCTCTCCCTCCCCTCCTGCCTGATTTAAAGGGCTTCAGCCCCGCATGCCGCAGCCCCCACTCCGCTCGCCAAATACCCTTTAGAGCAGTGGTTCTCAACCTTCCTCATGCCGCGACCCTTTAATACAGTTCCTCATGTTGTGGTGACCCCCAACCATAAAATCATTTTCGTTGCTATCATAAGACCATCGAAAATTTGTGTTTTCCGATGGTCTTAGGCGACCCCTGTGAAAGGGTCGTTCGACCCCCAAAGGGGTCGCGACCCACAGGTTGAGAACCGCTGCTTTAGAGGGTCTTTTTGTGAGCTGAGCATGCAGCCCATGACCACCCCTCTCCCACCCTCCTGCTAGATTTAAAGGGCCCTCCAGCTGGTCGGCGGGCCATGTGGTCCCTGTGGATCAGCTTAAATCCTTTAAATCAAGCAGGAGGGGAGGAAGAGGGGTGGCCAGGTGGGTGGTTGCTCTTGGGGGCAGGGCTTCTCTACCGGCCACCCGCCAGGTAGCCCCTAGAAGCAGGGGAACTCCCACCCGGACCTGGGGGCTAGCATCCCTAATCCAGCAGGGTTGTTCTTATGACACTTGTTGCTTCTGGTTTGCAATCTTTATTTTGATCCTCCTTACAACAATCCTATGCTAGGGGTGCTCTTGGTATTTAGTCTCGGCATGGCCCCACCCGTGGCCTTGTACTTGCCTGCTCATCACAGGAGCGAGTGTAGAACAGTTTGATGCTTGCTTCCTTATATCCAGGCCAACCATTCGTCTATCTCAGTCAGTACTGACTACACTGATTGGCAGTGGCTCTCCAGGGTCTCAGGCTAGAGGTCTTCCACATCACCTTCTGTGGTGGAAAGCGCCGTCAAGTCACAGCTCACTTCTGGTGACCGTGTAGGGTTTGTGTAATGTATCCAGTTCAGACCGCATGGCAGGCTAGGGCTCCATGCGGTCCGACGCAACCCTCGAGCTTTGCTCAAAAGAACAATGGACTATGGGGATCCTAGCCCACACCAATCAGAGGGCCAGGCTCCCGGCCGAGAGCCTGTGGGATTCTCGGCCACTGTAAATGACCTATTGTGTTGTGGGGGGGTGTTTTGGGTGGTGGTTTCTCAGGGAATATAAGCCGGCCTGTGAGCCGGCTAAAGTTGTCTAGTTCCTCACGGAATAAAGTACGTTAGCTGAAATCACTCGTCTGTCTGCGTACTTTTCAGTTTGCAAGGCAAACAGAGATGGTTTCCCATTGCCTGCCTCTGTGTATTAACTCTGGACTTCCTTGGTGGTCTCCCTTCCAAGTACTAAACAGGGCTGGCCCTGCTTAGCTTCTGAGATCTGATGAGATCGGGCCAAGCCTGGGCCACCCAGGCCAGGGCATCACCTCCTACCTGGTCATTTAACTTGAGCTGCTGGGGACTGGACTCAGGGCCTTCTGCAAGCCAAGCAGATGCTCTCCCACTGAGAAACAACCCGCTCCTCTCTAGGCTTCAGCACAGATAGGCCTTGGATATTCAGTAGGTTAAGCCAGGGGCCCATCAGGGATTTAAGCCCCAGAGCCTGCTTTTAGCGCTAGACGCTCAGCAGTGGCACAAGCAAAGCAATTAATAAGGAAGGGGTGTATCATGTATAGAATGCCTTTTTCCATTCCGGTTTGGCAGGCCATGAAATAATTTAGTGGCATATTCCGTCAGTTTTGCAGACAGGCCTTTCCAGCCGAAGGGTAAGAGCCGTGTGGCAAGGCTTTTTGCTGTTCCTACACAAATTGTTTCAGAATCCTGGCCAGAGGTTTCATATTTGGAGACTTTCCTTTAAAAAAATACCTGCTGCCTGCCTGACTAGTGCTTTAATGTATTCCAGAAGGACTGTCTCTCTCCCAGCTGAGCACAGCTGGGGCCGTGTTGAGGGCGATTTTCTCTCTAGTCCGGAAGTCACTCTCTGAGGAATTATTTTAAAAAGCAGCTTTCTATCGCACAATGGCAAAAGGGCGGATCAGTCTTGCTGTTAAGACTGAGGCTGCTAAGTTTTGTTCCATGGTTTTCGTGTGAATTCCTGCATAAGAACTGGCAGCCAGTTGTGGTGGAGGAGAAGGGCTTTTTTGGGGGGGGGGGTGAGAGAGTTAGTGAGGGCTGCACTGATGAAGTGGACCTGCTAGGCCCAATTGTTGCCAGAGGCACTGCCTTTACTCTTGGGTAGCCCCATAGCAAGGGCACCCCACATCTAACCTGACCCAGAGACCCACAAAACTCAGGCCAAGGAAGGCACGCCTGGTTCTGAAACACAGAGCTAGCCACAGCTCTGAAAAAGGGGTTTCCATTTTCAGATGACAGGCAACCTCAGAGCAAGCCTCCAGTCTTCCCCCTCCAGCCAGCAGAGATTATGCTTATGGAATGACAATTTCTACCAGGTAAAGTATCTACATTTCTAAAGTCTATTCAAAAGCTGCTTGGTAAATAACTCCGTCTCCAGTAATTCTTTGTACTGAATACTTGTCTTTCCTGCTCTGTCCCTCAGGATACTGGGATAAACCAATCAATCATTCAAATGTTTAGCCCATCTTTTGTCTATACTTGAGAGCCTTTTCAAAATACCCTGGCCAGGACCATTAGTGGTCAGATAATCTATTTAACTAGCCACCCAGCATCTGGCTTCTATTGTTAAATCCAGACCCTGCCCATCCTGTTGCCACACATCCCTGGGACTCATAATTGGTCCTGGAAATCTATTGTTCTCACCTGAGACCAGCCCCCAGGACTGCCCATTGGTCTGCATTGTCTTCCAATGGGTATATCCCGGCGTACACATGTCCTCAGACCGTGTGTTTTCTGCCATGATGCCACCTGGCAGGCCACTCCTGGAACCCTCTGGGTTTTGAGTCACAACCCTTCTTCATGGACCTCTGCACATCTGGACAGGTAGTATCACCCCATATCCCCTCCATTAGCCATCAATCACCTCTGCTTCCTTAGGTCTGTATTGTGTGCGTGAATGTTTAATTATTGTTTGTGTGCTTGAGAATATTTAGAGCCAGTTTGGTGTACGGGTTAAGTGCGCAGACTCTAATCTGGGAGAACCGGGTTTGATTCTCCACTCCTCCACTTGCACCTGGCTGGATGACCTTGGGCAAGCCGTAGTTCTGATAAGAGCTGTTCTTGAAAAAGAACAGTTTCTGTCAAGAGCTCTCTCAGCCCCACCTACCTCACAGGGTGTCTGTTGTGGGGAGGGGAAGGGAAAGGAGTTTGTAAGCCCCTCTGAGACTGAGACACCTTTGGGAAGTGAACGGTGAGGTATAACTCCAATCTCTTCTTCTTCTTCTTTAGTAAAGAAACCCTTATTTTATCCACCCAGTCTCTTTGTCTATTCCTGGGTTCTTGGGAATTCTAACTCTGGTATATATAACATATAGTTATGCCAATTGCATATTAATATAATTCCCCAATCTTTTATTAAATAATAGAGCAATTTGGCTACCACTCGTGTAGTTTAGTCTGTTGCCAGCTCTCTCCCCAAAGGAAGCAGCCTCTTTCCTAGCCATCCAGATCTCACTTCCACAGGGAACACTGGCAATGATCCATCTGCAAATACAGACTTTTTGTAGTGCAGTTTTTCACTTCTGAACCGGTTTCTGCTTTTACTTTTTCTAGGGTTGCCAACTTCCAGGAGATCTCCTGCTATTACAATTGATCTCCAGACAATCCAGATCAGTTCCGCGGGAGAAAAGGGCTGCTTTGGAGGGTGGATTCTATGGCAGTCTACCCTGCTGAGGGGCCCCCCTTCCCCAAGCCCCGCCCTCCCCGCCAGTGACAACACACTATAGGTGATGGGAAATGAGAGCTAGGGATGGTAAATACTTTGCCCCCGTCAGGGACTGTCAACCCTAGGCTGAAAGAACTGGCTGGGCCAGGGTCACTCAATTCCCCACAATCCCCCACCCCAGTGTCAAACAACAAATCCCTTTTAAAGCTGACAAGGAGGGCAAAATTAGTTGAATCCTCCAAGAAACAAAAGCACTGAAATGCCCGAAGGGACTAAGTTGCTCTTGGTCTTCATTTTTGCCTCCACATCTACCTGCTTAGCTTTCTCTTTCAGCACGGTCAGCTGAGAAGCCTGGAAACCACGGACAGAGCCAAGGAGTTCCACCGTCTTGGCGAAAGTGTCGGAATTCATGCAGCCCAGTTCCTGAACGGACCAAAACATATTGGCTTCTGATAACCTGACAATCTCATCAGAGGAAGGCTCTCGGACGTCTGTACAATCTGGAATGAAATATAATATATCTGAGTGAATGTGTTTGTTGAGTGTGAAGAAAGCTTTGGTTTTTAAAAAATTGACATAAATACATACGTGCAAAAAAAGCCTTTAATCTCTTTGAACAGAATGACAGAATGCAAAGCACTGGCAAATGCATTCCCTTTTGTTAGAACTGTTGCTAGGATACTTCCAGGCAAGGAAGGAGTATCTGCCTAAGGGTTGCCAAGTCAAAATATCTTACCAGCGGAGGAGCCTCGCCGGGCTCCGGGAGCCGTCCTTCAATGCGCGCGCGCCGCCAGCACATCACCAGAAGTGACACATGACGTCCATCACGTTGAAGGCGTGGCCCCGATTGTCGGAGGGAAAACCGTAGAGTTTTCCCTCTGACGATCGGGGCCACGCCCCCAACGTGATTGGCGTGGTTGCGTCACCTCTGGTGATGCAGCCACGCTGCGCTTCGGGGGGCGGAGTTCCCCCCGGAGCCCGATTCCGCGGTGGCGGAAATCGGGCCTCCGAAGTGGGGGTTTACCCGCCACCCGCCCCCACTTGGCAGCCCTAATCCGCCTCCAGAAGAAGTAGGCCTACCACTACAGTATAGACGTTGGTTACTAACACAAGCCTTGTTGGCCCCACGATCAGGGCTGCCATTTTTCCACTAGGAGTGGGAGAAATCTACTGCCTTTATGGCCCCTGCCGCTACTCAGATGGGCAGTGGGAGAAAATAGGGATGAAATGGGGAGGATTGCCAGCATCGTGATTAGCTGATGTCACTTCCAGCTAGGCCAGAAATGACATCAGCACCCACCCACCCCCGAGACAGTCTAGGATTCGATTAAACTATAGAGTTTTGGGTAAAAGCTAGAGGGGACATCGACATGTCACCAGCAACCTAATGACATTGACAAGGGCCCTCCACCCCACTACTTACCAGTCTCATGTTGGCAACCCTACCCAGGATGAATATTGTTGGAGGGTTTCTTTTTCTGCTTCCTCTCAGCATTGTGGTACTTTCATGCATCTCCTGGGTTTCCTCCGTCTTTTCTGTGATCTTTCCCAAACTTGCTTTACCATGATGTTTGGGGAAAGATCCCAGCAAAGCTGGGATGGCTGCCATGTTGAAATTCTGAATTTTCCCAGTCCCACCCATATGGGTGATATTTCCTACTCCCCATTCCTCAAAGTAGCCAATCTCTTCCCATGTAACTGGGGGAGCTTTTTTAGCTAGTAATTTAGATATCAATACACCAATATAATATTAGATCAGTAAGTCAATTGCTACTTTAAAAACAACAACTTTAAGAAGCCCCTTCCCAGTGCTGCAGGGTTGCGTGGTCTTATGCAATGTCACTTTTGATTGTGCACTGACATTCTAGCAATCCCCCGAACTGTATGGCAAAACCACAGAGACTTGGAAGGATTGCTAGAACGTCACAACAACACTCGATGTCGCAGCAGCAGCACTCCTGCCCCCAATTTCTTCTGCTGCAGCACTGACCAATGGAGGCAGGGGGTGGAATGGGAGATGTTCCATGGCAGCACGAGACCTGGTTCCCCTATGGTGGAAGAGAGTGGAGCAGAGAAAACATGAGGAAATCTGCCCTGTGGAAACCCCACTACTGCTGTCCTACATCGAGAATCCCCAGAGAACCACCGCCTTGTGGAACAGGCTTACATTGGCACAGCAGTGCCTCCGTTTTCCAACCAATACTTGGCATCGTATTGTGTAGTGGGTTGCCGCATGGAGAAACGACAGACGACGACGTAGTGCATGGCACGCTTTATTAGGTACACAACAAGACGGGGGAATAACGGCCCGGGGGCCAACTATATACACCCCTGGGGACACACCCCTGGTCACCATTGGTGGGTTTGAATCTCCCGCCACGGATTCCATTGGCTCCCCAGTGGAGGGACTAGGAGCCTAGTCCCTATTGTTATTCCAGAGTCAAGCTCTGGCAGCTCTGACTGACCGCTGGCCCCCGGTGGCGGTCTGCATACACAACACATCGGTATAGCTTCTAGTGCTCACACACATTCCTTTCTTATCATTCTTCCTACAGGACAGTATTATTCCCCACTGAGCTGCAGCTCCAACCCTACAAGGCTCACTGCAGCTTCCCCGTCTTACAAATGGATCAAAGGATGCTGGGGAGGGGGGATTTGTGTAAGATTGGAACTCTGGCCTTTCTGGCCCACAAGTCATTCTCTCAAGCACCGTGCCACGCTAGATGTAAGCACCAGTGCTAAATAGGAAGTCTCAGACAGCGCTCTGAAAAATCTGAAAAGTCTGTCCAAAATGCTTTTGGGGGGGAAATGCTGTTTTCTGTAACAACAAAAGCAATCTTGGATTTTTGACCATGCCCTGTAAAGGGGAGCCTCTCAGAGGCTGCTTGTTGCCAATGAGCTAAATAAATTAAACTGCGGGCAAACCGAGCAGATTTGCACCCTGAACGGAAACAGGGGGGAGGATTCATTTCAATCGAGTAAAACTGCACAAGGGAGGCGGAGGAGGGCCCAGGAAGAAAAGCATTCAACCTTATATCGTACTGGCAGAATCCATTTGTCAGCAGTCAAAATGAAATAGCTTCACATTTCCAGAAGCGGAAAGGACAGGTGGAGTTGTTGGGGTGTTTTCCCCACCACCACCACCATACAAAGCTGTCATGCAGAGAACAGTAGGCTTGAGAGGCATCCCCTGAAGGAATCCAATGGTATTTTGCCCTGGAAGAAACCAGCCGTTCATTTCATTCCACAGAATGCCTGCGATCTACAGGCAAACTTGAGGGCGCATTTATTATAGACTTGGTTCCATCTCCTGCCTTCTGGCATTTTGGGAGTTCTGCAGCAAAGAACCTTTCTAAATTAATCGGAATGTCTTCCAAGAATTCCACATTACCTGGTGCTATTTCTAAAGAGAAACCAATATATTACTAAATCCTGTAACGGCTTTTTAATTTCTGGATTTTGACTAGAGCCGTGCGCATGCGCAATTTGCTCCATCACTTCCTTTGTGTCTCCCCCCACTCCTCTGCACTAGCAATGCGCATGTGAGTGTTAACAAAACACTACAAGTAAACAGAGCAGTCCTGCTGTGATTGTCAGTGTGATTTATATCAAAATTCTTTTGGTGCAATGTTTTACCGATTAGATGGAAGGTCATTCTTGGGCTCAATCTCATGCATGCTTTCTGTTTTTCTCTCTTCTACATTGGTCTGAGCTTTCCTGAATATAGTTCAGCAGATGCTTGGCAGTTTCGCAAACAGAACATTCACACGCACACGATTCATCCTAAATGGCTTCCCTGTTTTGCTTTGTGACACGCTGCCCATCTCAAAGCATATTAAAGAACAGAATCGAACAAGAGAGGGGGTTCTTAGCCTAGAGCACACCAACAGCAATGGATTACTCACCAGGCGACTGATACGGAGCTCTGACTGAGTTACGAACAGATTCAAATTGAACCAACAGGAGGTCCTCAGTAGGAGGAACTGGCCCGGTCATCTTTGATGTTATCTGTATGATGATATCTGGAAACTTCAACGGGTTGGACGCAGAAAAAGAGGAAGATCATTTTAGAATGTTACTGATTTGGCAAAACGGCACTTGGGACTTAATAAGAACCAAAACCAGGAGGATCAGGGTGAAGCCTCTTCTTGGAAAGGGGGCTTCGGGGGCATGAAAATGTATGCCTTCTCCCAAGGCTAACTCTTGGTTCCTCTCTAGGGTGCCAGGCCTCCTGCTATGGTGGGAGACCTCCTTGCTGGCAGCCCTAGTTGCTCTCTGAGTGGTGGTAGGAGGGGGGAAATGGGGATGTTGGCTGCATCCCTGTGCCACTTTTGGGGAAAACCTGGAAGTAATGTAGGGTAGCTCTAGGACTCACTGGAAATTCTATGGTTTTAACATATGCCCTTTCTGCACTGGGTTTCCCCCTGCACTCACAGCTGTTTTGCTTCGCGGCAAATTTTGCATTATGCATTGCTTCCTGCTTTCGCTTCACGGTATATTTTTAGTTCTGCATTGCCTCTTCCCAATTTTGCCCTGCATTTCCATTGGGCTATTTTTAAATCCTGCTCTGCTCTGCTCTCAGTTCGGTGTCGCTCCGCTGTTTCCCCGGGTTTTCTGAATGCTGATTTACCACAAATTTCAACACACGCACACCCAGCATCCATGCTGAAGTAATTTGAATGCAGAAACATTTCCTTGGATTTTCTCCCCCTGCCCCTTTTCCGCCCCCCTCAGAGTCAACTCCTCCACCCACCCCCTTCTGCGTCCTCCCGGGGAGTACTTTGTCCTGTTTGCAACTGAAGGGAAAGTACTGTGTGGGTGTGGCCCATGCTTTGAATGGGAACTTTTTGTCTCAAGAGGTTTCCCAAAGACTCTCACGTCTGCAAGCCCCGGGTCCCACCAGACGCACTCGCAGGAGACAAGGGCGGCATAGGGACAAATACCAAAAGGCTCTCTGCACTCTATAAAATGGCCAAAGCTCTGAGCTTGCGTCTGCTGGTTGCACCTGGTGCAGCACCTGGTCAGCAGTGTGGTTGGGCTTAAATCTGTCTTTTCTCTTTCGTTGATTCACTTTTTGGGGGAAAGCAGGGGCAGATTGGGGGGGCTTTGCAAAGACAGGTTCTCCGCACCAGAAGTGCCCCTTCCCATTGCTAGGAGCTGCTGTCTCCTTCCCCCATATATAGGGCTCGATGTGGAGCTGTGGGCAGAAGGAGGGAGGGAGCGAAACATCTACTGAACTCCTTCCTACAAGTTGAAAAACACTCCTCTCTAGAAGTGTTTACGGTGGAAAGATTCACACACACACACCAGGAACCATGGTGGCCGCTGCCACCAAAGCACAAACTGACTGACAGACCAGCCAGCCTCTGAGCTTGCATCCCTCTATGGGTCACCCATGCCCAGAGTATCCCAGCAGCGGTGAGTCAAGGGCAGTGTTCCCTCTAAGCTGAGTTGGTGTGAACTGGCTCACAGTTTTTTAGCCCCTGGCTCAAGCATTTTTGTCTCAGCTCAGGAAGGACGGCTCCAGAGCAAACTAATTTATGCAGCAACCAAATCGCTCACTCATAACTTCCATGCCAGTAGCTCACAAAGTAGAATTTTTGCTCACAAGACTCCACAGCTTAGAGGGAACATTGGTCAAGGGGGATGGGGGAGTGAGGAGGAGAGAGAGAGGAGGCTGCAGTTTGTCCCATTTCTTGTGCCCTGGCTTGGTTAAGTCAGTGGCCTTTTCCCTGTGTCAGTTTCATTCACGGAACTGAACAAGGAGGATTTAAATGGAAGGAGCGAGGGGTGGAACGCAGATGGACAAACAAGCAGAAATAAAGAGGGGTGATCGTCAGCATGGAATGAAATAAACAGCGGGATGGGAAAGGTTGGAAAATGTTTCTCCGTGTAATGCTTCAGTGGACCAAAACAGCTTGTGAGGTGGCGTCCCCTAAAACGACAAATTTACAACAAAGAACAAGAGAATTCCCACGCTTTGTGCAAAGTGCAGTCAGCGGAGCTGGAACGCCATGCATGGGGCGGGAGGGGGAATGGGGGGAGGGCATCAAACCCTTCCCACTTCCAAGGCACCTTGGCTGAGAGCCGGAGCCCTCCATGGCCAAGGATACCGACTGGGGCCGGAGCAACAGGGGAGAGTTGCCTGCCACTACAAACAGCTCTGCATGGCTTCTTGCCGCTGCCGTGAATGAGGCACGGGGGAAGGGGGCCAAAACAGTGGGCCAGAGGTGTCTTCCGGTTTTGGCGTTCGCCATGGTGGCTGCTTTCTCCCAGAGCTCCGGGAGATGACTGCCAGAGCCCGCGGTTGGGAGGGGGCACAACTGTCTGCGCCACCCCCGGAGCCCTCGCGTGGGGCTCCTAGCCATGGGGCGCTAGAGTGCCCTTCCTCTGGCGACCCTGCTGATGAAGGGGGGCAACTCCTTGCCCCGAAGGTCCCGCTGCAGAGCATCCCGAATGGGAACTAGAAATCGCACACCAGAACAAGCGCTTGGTGGCCAAGCGAATTGAAAACAAAAGCAGAACTATTGATGAACTGTGAGTTGACGTTTAAGCGAGGAACACCGAAGAACTAGCCAAAATCCTCCCCTTTGAAAGCGGGGGGGGGGGAACTCTCCCCCACTAAGAAAAACTAAGTGAACTTTGAGCCACTATGTAAAGGGGGGTTGGCTAACGAAGTAAGACGGACTGAAATAAAGAGCATTTAAGAACTTACCAGGCTGATTTAAGAGTTTCAGAGACTGTGATAACTTTTATAAAAAGTAAACAATTCCCAAACATGGTGCCCATGAGGAAGGATGAGAAAGACAAGCAAGTGAAACCAAAGCTTCTTGCCAGAACTGCAAGCCCAGCGAGTTCTGTGCCTAGACAGGACACAACTACAGAGCTGCAAAAGGTGCTGACTGAAGCTTTGCACCCTCTGCTGGAACAAGTTACAGCATTGCACCACAAGTTTGACGCACAGCAAACTTTACTAACTGAGATAGCAAAAAAACCCAGATCAAAGTGAGCAAGAACTGAAAGAAGTGGATGCCAACACCAAGAAGCTTAAAAAACAACTGCAGGTGATGGAGAAAAAGAGACTAATGGAGGAGTCTCATTTGTTACAGTTCCAGAAGAGAAGGAGGAGAATCTGAAGCAGATTATGAGCGAGGCTTTAGGGCCCATGGCAGATATAAAAGCGCACATATTACAAAGTGAAATTGATACGATCTATCGGTCGTATTCAGATTTTACAAGAAAGAATAATCTGCCAGGGGAAGTTACTATAAGATTCTCCAGAAGACAAGTGAGAGACCAAATCCTTAAAGCGACAAATGGAACTACCTTGAAAGTCAAGGACAAAGAAATAAAAGTCTTGAAGGACATTCTGTTTGAAATAAGAAAGAAAAGAAGAAAATACAGAGACTTGGTTTTATTCCTACAGAAGAACAACATTCCCTACAGATAGATTGTACCTGAATGCACAATCTTCAAATTTATGGACAAGAAAGAAAAAATCGACTCTGTTGAAAAGGCACATGAATTTTTGCATCAACATAGTTGTCCAGCAGGAGAAGAGGAGGAGGAGGAAGAAGCCAGCACCAACGGCAGTGAAGAAGAGGGAGCAGTGGCATCTTCAGACGAGAACTCAGACTCTAAACTGGGGGCAGCAGCCCCAAAGACAAGCTACCACTTGAGAAAGAAAAAGTACAAAAAATGAGATGTTATTGCACTCTGAAATCTCTCACAATGTTTTGTCATAGTTATTTCTTTTATTACTCTTTAAGAAGTCAGATACGGTGGTATTTAAATTTTTACTTAAGTTTTAATAGATGATCATATGACCACATTCAATGAACTGGAATCGAATGTTGAGTTTAAAAGCAAACTTGTTAAGCAGTATGTATGACCACCATCTCTTGTGTTTTTAGTGGGTTTTCTTTACTTTCTCCTATAGTTTGTAGATCCCCTCCCTAATTTCGATGTAGTTTATAGAAAATGCAAAATAAAAATCCCCTACGGGGGGCATAAAAAAAAAGAGTGACCCAGAGGTGAGCCGAAGGGGGTGGGAGAGCAGGGAGGACAGGAGAGAAACGGGAGGGTGCAGTGTTCCCCATCCGTTGCGTGTGCACTCATTGGCAATTGGACACCCCCCCCCCCACGGATCACAAGTGACATTAACCACAATTAAGCAAAAAAGGCGGGTTTGGGTTGTAGATGCAAAATGCATGATCCACATATTTTGCAATTCCTGGGGGGAAATCCGGAGGTGCAGAATTACAAGCACTGAATCCAGACTATAAGCAAAACAGGATCGGCTACGGAGAAATGCGCCGTGCGCCAAAGAGACCGCCAAAGCTGGAGGACCTGCCCCTACCCCTTCCCCTGGACACCGGAGATGGGACACCGACCCCGAAGACCGCCTGGAGGAACAACGCCAGAACCAGAGAACAACAGCCCTGCCACCTGGGTGCCGGTAGGCAGCCCCACCCCTGTATACTATGTGGCCTTAGTTAGGGAAAAATATATTTGAAACTACCTGTAAACCCTTCGGGGTCAGAGCGGTAAATAAATTGAATGTATAAATAAATAAATAAATAAATGGTGGGGTGAATATGCATGTAGAAAGGGCCAGAGAGTTTAGGGTCGGCGGCTCCAGGTTGGGAAATACCTGAGATTTTGGGTTGGCGCCTGAGGCAGGCGGAGTTTGGGGAGGAGAGGGACATCAATGGAGTATGACGCCCACCTTCCAAAGAGACCATTTTCTCCAGATGATCTGATCTCTGTCACCTGGAGACCAGCTGTAATCCTAGGACATGAAGGCTGGCAGCCCTACCTGCATTACTTCTGTGTTTTCCCCAGAAGTGATGTAGAGACACGGCTGTCATCACATGCTCCTGCAAGTCCCCACCCCCAGTGCTCCTACCGGTTGCCAGGCTCAGCCTGCTAACCCCATCAGTGCCATCCACTGAGTATCAGTAACTCTCAGGTGGAAACGGTCCTTTCCCAGCTCCTGCCCCCTGAGCCGCTTTGACTGGAGGTGCCAGGTTCTGAACTAGCCAGGATTTCTCATTTTGGGGTGCAATTTTTTTTTTCTTGCGGGGCACCCATTATGCTTCTACTTACAAATAATAAATAACTGGAGATTTTGTGAGTGGAGCCTGAGGAGGGCGGGGTTTGGGGAGGGGAGGGACTTCAATGGGATATGATGCCACAGAGTCCACCTGGAGATCAGGTGTAATGCCAGAGAATCTCCAGCTACCACCAGGAGATTGGCAACCCCAGGAGAGAGAGACTGGCTTTCCCCCACCATCTACAAACCCCCCCTCTCCATGGAAAGTTATGGGAGAGAGATTGGCTTCCCCACCACCATCACCATGCTTTCTCTCTCTCTCTTTCCTTCCTCAGACACCCCCCCCCCCCCCCCCACCAGGGGGGGGGGGGGGGAGAAAGAAGAACGCCC